GGGCGCGTCACGCGAATCAACTTCGCGCTGGACACGCTGCACCGAGTACATCGGATAACTCAATTCCCCTGGACATACTGTGTAGGCACCTCAGTATGCTTGACATAGCACTAGGTCCCCCCCCTCACCCACTCTTTTTCTCTTCCCTTCACTGTAGGGCTTTTAATACAAGTATATATATATATATATATATATATATATATAAGCCTGAGAACGGACTAAGTGGCAAACAGACCATGACACAATAATACGGAATATGTATACAGTGTAAAACTGTTTCACCGTGGTTGTTTTTCTATATCGAAATGGGTTATGATGGCAGAATGAAAAGCAGTCGCGCTATCGATTTTAGATTCGGGTCAATTGTTTCAACATCTCAAGAAAACCAAATTCATATTTTATGGGACCATAAGAGAGATCAAACCTGGCCTGGACTCCGTGGCTAAGCATCAGGTCAGCGACTATCTGCCCTTTTATCTTTTTCTAAACAGAGCGCATGTGGGTGCAACCAAAACACGAGACGGTAATCACTGGGAGGGTATACATAGGACATATCTACGCCACATCGGTTGGTTTACATCGCTTAGAGACTAATGCTCTTTCGTGGACTCAACTGTGGCCAACACGATGACGTCACTATATACGTTGGATATTCGTGGAAAGTGTAGAAGGCTCAATAATTTTGTCCGCTAGTAGCTTCCGAATTTCCGTCTCGATAAATACCATATCCGCGCGAGAGAAACGAGAATTTGTGGCAACTGGAGTACACTCAGTGATGAGATTATCAAACAAAGAGGAAGCATTGCCTTTCGCTGCTTCCAGTGTGCGTACGGCGAATGGGGGGCGTTTACCCGTGAATGATATGACCACACTGGTGTTGGCTGAGAAAATCCAAGCCAAGGATGACGCCTGAATACAAATTGGACAAGAGCGAGAGTTTGATACCCTTGTATCGCGTGCTTCTGTACAGCACGGTAGCATAAAAATGACCGCTAGTAACACAATATAAATTCGTTGAAGCCATCGAGATAGCGCTCTTAGAGGGTGTTATTGTCCAACCATGTTCAGAAGCAATAGGCCACGAATGATGTCTGAACACAAGTTGGACAAGAGCGAGAGTTTGACACCTTCGTATCGCGTGCTTTTGTACAGCATGGTAGCACGAAGATGACCACCAGAAACGCAAGATAAATTCGTTGAAGCCATCGGGATAGCGCGCTTAAAGGATGTTATTGTCCAATCGTGCTTTAGTGCGATGTCAAAAGAAATTTAACTTTCGCAGCTACTAGTATCGGCAAGAGCATGAACTGGGATATTATTCACCATAACATCAATAATTGATTTGGAAAGTCCAATAGATGAAGAGATGTTGAAACTGGATGAGACACCAGGGTTCAACATCGATGTGATACGACTTAAATTCGGTTTGGATCGACACACTTTTTGGAAATGACCTTTCTTGCCGCAGGAATGACAGAAAGATTCACGAGCCGGGCATTTTGAACGAATGTGCTTACCGTTGCCACAGAAGAAGCAAGATAGGGATGTGCTTACAATCGCGTCATTTGAGCCAGTCTGGGAGATAAGTGCATACGAACAGGAGTCAAAGGTTTATCAGTTTTGATATATGCGGCACCACAGGGAACTTGAGAAGACGAATCGTATGAGAGTAACCGTTGTTGGGCAAGCAGACGTGCCTCGCCAAACGCTTGTTGAAGCTTAGGAGTGTTTTTTCTAGTAGTCTTTGGCGAACGGAACTAGACTGCAAGCCTGTGATAAATGCGTTTCGAATAGCCACGTCTTGATGTTCATCGGCAGAAACCGCACGAAAATTACAGTCCTTGATAAGGTAACGTAATTTTTGCGGAAATGTGTCGACTAATTCACCCGGTTCTCGTTTGGCAGTAGCCAACACGTGGCAAGAAAACACTTCATTTTTGGGTTTGATGTACATCGTTCCGAGCGTCTGGATGGCGTCTTCGTAAGTGGTACATTCACGAACATGTTGATAGACGGACGGAGAAGGAAAATTTACCAAGTTTTCTGTCGACGTTCGGGAGTTCGATGCATGAGAGGAAATTCGTAAACGTTTCCTGCCAATCGATCCATTGTTCTGAAGCAGAAGAGGATTGGGGGTCGGCGTCAAACCGATGTGGGCGAAACAATCGGCCCATTGTATTTTGTTAGGAGATTAAATCGTTGCGCGCTCGAATGATTTTGCCAGAAATAGAGAACAAAGATTGTCGAATGATTGGGTTTAATTTTCTAACAGTTTCAGCACACCAGCTAAAACATTAGGAAACACAATTAGTTTGACGAATAGTGCGTAAACAGTTTAACACAACGTCAGTATATAACATGTAGTACGTCCATCTTCCCCGCACCTACGAAGAAGGAACACACAAATGGATTGACAGTTCAACCGCCATCATGGTGCTGTTCACATTACCTATAAGCCGGTGATTCGGTCTTGGCTAAGGACTATCGCATCGGTAGAGAGAAATGGACTGATGGTTACATCAAGCGCCGCGTGGGTAACGTCATATACGAAGCTGACGCACAGCCTGCCACATGGGCGCGTCACGCGAATCAACTTCGCGCTGGACACGCTGCACCGAGTACATCGGATAACTCAATTCCCCTGGACATACATATATATATAATGTATAACTAGACGAACCTTATGGTTGTACGGCAGTGAAGCATCAGTGACAAGGTGGGTGTTGCTGTCTTTGATGATGATGATGGACACACTGTTGGATACCTTTGAGTTACCATCTACACATGTGCTTCCTGTACAAACAGACAACCCACTAGACCACACCAAGGCGGTGGTCCAGGTGATTCTACCCAGCTGGCTCACACATACACAACACTCAGGTACTATTCAACATTCCTGCCCGCACTGCAGTGTCCGGCCGCTACCAAATCGCGTTCTGAAAAGAGATGTTGCTTAGGCTTTCCGTCAGTTCAATTCTATGCTCAGCTCCGAATTTTTATTGATACACCAAGATCCCGAGCTGCCAATTGTCGCCGAAGCTTGTGCCCCCGCTTACGCTGTCGGTGCCGTCATTCTATATGAGTTTCCGCACAGAACGAGAAGGCAATCTTGAATGAATCCAGATCGTTGACCCCAGTGGAACATCAGTACGCGGCAATTGACAAAGAAGCGTTCGTGCTAGTCTTTGCCGTCCGTCGTTTGCACAAGATCATTTACGGCCGCCTACTCACCCTACTGACTGATAACAAAACCTTGTCCATTTTGGACCCGAAATCTGGCGTGCCTGTTCATTCGGCGAGTCGCCTTCATCGTTAGGCGCTCACCTATCTTAGCTACGGTTTCGATATTCGCTGCAACCACACAGGTAACTTCGGCGAAGCGGATGAACGGTCACGTCTGATCGGCCATCACACTGTCTCGGAAAAGGACGGTCCACCGCTTACCACGCTGGCCAGCAGCTTCTACAAACAGTCCGTGCATCGCCCGTGACTGTATTGGTGAGACCTCGGACGACTTGACACTGCAACAGGCTCTCCAGTTCCTCAGGACATGTTAGAGGACATATCTCCAACCGGAAGGACCGTCTCCAATCGCCAGGACCCCGTGTCAATCGTTGATGATTATCTCACATGCGGACATTGTGTTGTAGTACCACGCTCCTTACGTCTTCAGGATGTCCGTGTGATACACGCAGTCTCTCATACCAGGTTGGTCAGTGATTAAAGCTCTGATGAACACAGTCTCCTGGTCCTCCAGGTTTGGGGGTTGGAACATGTGTGGCGAAGTGTTTCATGAAAATGGGAATGTACTTGCATTTCCTGCCGAACACTGCTGTTTTGCGGCTAGACCTCTTGATAAAGCTGTTTCTACGATTAATGAGATATAAGTATACGCAGGTTATGATTGCTCCTGTAAAATGATTGTTTTTGGAATCAAGTCTTCAAATGAGATATGAATAGTAACTTCGTGATTCACGGGTAATGACCATTTCAAAGAGCTTGTTTTGACCGAAAGCCCTAGTGTTATTCATGTGAAATAGATGTTTGGTTGCTTCTGCCTCGCTAGTCTGTAGATTGGCGTTTAATATGTGTAGTTTAACCTGCATTTTGTGTTTTATTTGTGTTTTGTGCACAGCGCTGGAAAAACCGAATTAGTCATGTTGCTATTGGTCCGACTTTACATGTGGCTATCGAAGCCGCTTTGAAACTTCAAGCCGTCCCCCCGAGTATAGTGAATGTTCTGTCCATGATGAGAGAACAGTAGATTTGAGAATAATGGCTTGTCGCTTACTGATTTACTTATAAAATGGTGGTGGACCTCCCAACACCTGCCAAAGTACCTTATTTTCGCTGGTACCAGTTATCAGTTTCTCAACCCGGATAGCCGTATCGCCCTACCCGGCCGCTTTCCTAGAGTCATTAATGAGAGCATAGGGACCAGTGTCGTACCAGTGCACGACAACCCCCCTTCCAAGGGTCTCATCCATATTTTTTGAGACCGCTGGTGCTCCAGTGGCATCTTGTCGAACCGGTTGTTTTGTCTTACTCGTAGCTCGTTCCTAGTAGCATGATGAAGGTGAAAGCTATGTCATCTAGGAACCTCAGCGAATAAACGAGTCGAAAATTCATAAAATTCTATGATGTATCAAGGTTAATTGGTGCTCAAACTCAACCGGTATCAGCTTGGTTCGCATTATGTACTCGAACTTTCTCCGGTTTCGAAGCATCGTCAGTTGCCTCCGCTTGGCCCACTAGATGGTGGCGTAGACCCGCTAAGTGGGACACATTTTATCTTATTCCTTTGATCACTTGGGTTTATTTTTGGAACTTCATACTATGCCTTTACAGAGATTGTAGTCTAGTTGTCTTGTTTATATCTAAATGCCTTCCTGTGACGCATTTCTTTCTGTTTTAGTCTTTCGAACGACTTTTTGGTCTCGTGTAGTTTTCGAAATGTCTGGTGAAAACTCACGGCTTTGGGTATTCAAGTTACCAGAAGAATGACCACTATTTACAGTGTGACCTGTGTATCTCAAAACTGTGCAATTCCGACTGACGTCTGTCCTCTTTCGCTATCGCTGGATGTTCCTGTATTAGCAGAGGAAACTTCAAAATATCCTGTGGCTACGCAGTCGTTAACATTCGATGATTATGATGAAGACGCTTCAAATGTATTTCGTTACTCGCCCACTTCGGTACGGACCTTGGCCAAGGAATCATCTCCTGGTTCTAGTGAGCTTCTGTCAATGCCGAGTGAGAAAAGCAACTCCAGGGGTTGCTCGGGTGACAGTTCAACAGGTTGGTTGGTTCCATCCGAAGTGACTGAAATTGAACATTCAGCAAGCGAAAGTTCCCTCTCACCTTGCTTCCAGCTAAACGATTATAACAATGAGATGACGAGTCCTGTGTCTGTTCACTTAAAGGATTGTGTACCCTGTACATACAGCCAAACCAGTTCTGCTCATCTAGATGTGATGAACGCCTGTTGTCCAGTGGTTTCGACTCAGCACACTACTTCATCACAATCCACATTCAGTTCTTCCATGTCTTCCATAAAACCAGCATCAAGTGCATTTATCCCTCCGTATTCTTCTACTCCAATTCATGACCGACCTTTCCCTGGGTATTCCGTTAGAGGATGCTCATATTCGCATTCATTCAGAACTGTGATCCCGAAACCAGTTCCGGATCCTAGTTTAGACTTGCCTATACAACCAAGTGTGCAAAACGGCCCCCTTCTGATCGACTCTGACTTTCGCTCCCATTCAGTATTTCCCTCGCACAACACCACTGGTGTCTCTTCCTCTCACTTTATGCCGAGCACAAGTCTCCCACTACACAGCCCTATTTTCCCTTGCGTCATGCAGCGCCCCCAATATTCATCAAAACACGGTGAGGCTAGCTCTATCGCAGTCGCCCTGCCGACGACAATGTCCACTTCATGTTTGTTGAATTTACCACTAGCTTCGTCTTCTGCCTTCAGGGAGAGATCAACGACGCAATCTGTGTCCAACTCTCTCCCCCTTTCTCGACGTGTTCACTGGCAACTGGATGCATCTTTGAAGCCTCAACGCGATTCGTCTGTTACTTGCGACCGATTCGCTCACTCTTCCGCCTTATCTGATAGATCTCCACATCTTGATTCAAATCGGCCGTTCTCAGAAAATGTTCGACAGACACCAACTGTAATGATCAATTCTGTTGAAAGTACACGTTACTTTTCTCCAAGAGAAACACGAAAGTCGATGGTTGCTTCACTTTTACGCACCACCACCTCCCGTTCATCACATTCGCGTGAAACAATTTCTAATGGAGAGTACATCTTATCATCTACCTGTGCCAATTCATCGTTGCTTTTGTCGGACAGTCTCTCCATACAACAGCCAATTTTCGATAGTAGCATTCCGACTTACGCTTTACAAGAGACAGTCGATCACACTAAGCGTAGTATGCAGTTCACTTCATCTTCACGAAACGCCAAGAAGCGGCGGCTAGTTGACAGGGCAGTGACATCAATCTCTTCTATTCCTTCTTTTCGTACGTTTGACAGTCGATTTTGGTCTATAGGTCCCCACCAATACATACATGATCCCGTTATCTCACTCCCGGCGACATTGAATCCACCAGTACCCACTCCCATACACGATCGGCACTGTCCAAAGCTCGAAGACGGGACACCAGTCACTTCAAATGAATGTTCGGTAACTTCACCTACTGGTATACGAAATAACAAATATTTTACTTTCCCTATGTTCCCTAGTCGATCTCAGAACTTTCCTACCACTGAACCTCAAATGGAGGATTTTCTCGCTGGTCGAACTCATGACCGAACTCTGTTCCACAAATTAATTCAGGAGAACCTGTTTTTCATATGTTTACGGAAAGCGTCTTTCCGAAGTAGTCAGTCATGCATTTCTTCCTGTCCTCCCACACCACCTGCTGGTGCTATATTGGCTGACAAACTGCTAGAACGCCTTGGTGATTTTCGGGATTGTGGTCGTACAACTCCGCCTCTAAACCTGATGCATAAGTGCATAGTGTCATCAAAGGGTCACGGATCAACTAAAAATACAGGTATTACGAAATCCGTGGTCGCCCCTGAGTGGTTTATTGCTGAAAACCTTTTTTGTGCATATTGTGCGTTACAACTAGTCACCAATGATCATGTGCTCAGTCTGAAAGCGCCGGATGGGGATGGGCGCATATCATTCTGTAGCTTTCTTTGTTTGACGGCGTATCATAATTCAGGTGCTCTGAAGGAGATGAAAATCAACGGCGTGTCTCACTCGTCCCCTGTACTTGGCGTCAAATCTCTCCTGTCAGATTTACGACCGTCCTTGGTCATTCTGTTGCAGCAGCATGCTAACATAAAATGGCTCAAAAAAACAGGGAAACGCTCCAATTACCAAGGCAAGTTTTCCCGGCGTCGTCCTTCCGATTCCGTCAGCCACTCAAGAGGCGTTTGGAATCGTTGTAGTTCAACGCGATATTGGCATGGCATACGATGGAAGAAGTTTTCGAGAGGCGCTTCCTGCACTAGATTGCCGACTCCTGACACACTCGTCCGAAATTCTCCGTGCATCCCTATCATCCCTATGCGAAATCCGCCTTTTGGGTTCACCCCGAATTCTACGTTCCCCATGGAGAAAAAGTGTATTGTCGATCGTCGTGTGTGCATGCTGTGCCACAAAACAGGCGATGCACCCAACGAGGTATCTGGTCGTTTGTTGCACTATGATTACAACAAGTGGTTACATTTGAATTGTATTCTTTGGTGTTATGACACTTACGAAACGGTTAGTGGTAGTTTAGTACAAGTTTCTCGTGCTCTTGAGAAGGCCGAACGGACACTTTGTGCACATTGTGGTTCCACTGGTGCTGGCTTGCCATGCTTTTACTCCGATTGTCAAGCCATCTACCACGTTCCATGTGCTCATTCGATCGGCTGTTCATTTCACGCCGATCGTGGTATGTACTGTCCTCTGCATAGGGAAGCTGCGAACAAATTGTGCCAGCTAAATTCGCTGTCTGTGGAGCGCCGCGTTTTTATTAGTCGGGATGAAAGCTCGCAACTTGCGGGTGTCATTTTGCAGGTCAACCAGCAAAACGAACCTTCAGTTCGCTTGCACGGCGAAGATTCCTTCGTGAAGCTGCGTGTTGGTGGTCTCATCCTGCACAGTGTCGGTCAACTTTTACCGGAACATCTTAGTGGTACTTCGTTTCACTCAGCAGAGTTTATCTACCCAGTAGGATACTCCAGTACTCGTATCTACTGGTCTTATCGACATGTTAGACGACGTTGTCTCTATCATTGCCGCATCGAAGACAGTTTATCCAAAACCGGTGACCCAGTTTCATCATTCAATCTGTATCCAAAGTTTGTTGTGCAAGTAGACGAAAGGGATGAGCCACTTGAAGTTTTTGAGGATACAAGTTGTGATGGTGTTTGGCAACAAATACTTACGCGGATTAATCAAGCACGACGGTTGTCAGGGTTAAGCCATCTTCGTATTATCCAAAGTCAGCTTCGTGGTGAGCTTTTGTTTGGGCTTGCAGAACCACATATAGTCCGAGCTATAGAGTCCCTTCCCGGGGTTGACCGACTGAGCACATATATCTTCAAATTCGGTCGGCTGCAGTTGTTCAAAGAGATGCCACTAGCTATTAACCCCACAGGATGTGCACGGTCTGAACCGAAACTCCGTACCCATGTTCGCCGTCGGCCCACTGGGGATGCATCTCAACATGGTCAGTTTCGGAATGCCGCGATTGCTAACCCGATGTCCACCTCAGTTCGATCTGGTCTCAGCAGTCCTGTGTATTCAACATCAGCATCGTTTCTTAGCGTGAGCAAATCCCAACAGTACCGTCGCCTGCGGTTAGAATGGAGGTACAATGTTATACTAGCTCGATCGCAAATTCAAGGTCTGGGTCTCTATGCGGCTCGCAACCTCAGTAAACATGCATTTATTATCGAATACCTCGGGGAACTCATCCGTAATGAAGTGGGAAATCGCCGTGAACGACTATATGAACTACAGAGTCGCGGAATCTATATGTTCCGAGTAGATGAAGACAGTATTGTAGACGCAACTATGTGTGGTGGTCTGGCCCGTTATATTAATCACTCTTGTGAACCAAACTGTACAGCAGAAGTCCTAAACTGTGAAAGTGGCAGTCATATCATAATAATAGCTTCTCGGGATATTGAGAAAGGTGAAGAGTTGACATACGACTATAAATTTGATATTGAAGAGGAACGCGGGGATCGTATTCCATGTCTCTGTGGTGCACCGAACTGCCGAAGATGGATGAATTAGCCCCTAATATGCTCAGATCAGGTAGTCGTCGAAGTGGTTGTGCTATTTTGCTACCTTATTTCTTGCAGCGTAGTGATACTGACTGGCTTGTTTCAGACAGCCTCTGGGCTCAGGAAGTTACCCTTCTGACCAATGACGAAATCCAGGCTTCCCATTTGATTTCATATTTCCTTCACTTTGATTTTTCGGGCTAGGTGCTCGTCTTTATGTGAGCTCCCGTCCCGTTTTTTCTATGTGTAGATATACTTTCTCTGATTCGATCATCATCCTGTGCGCTCGAATGTTGATTTGTAGACTCCGTTGCATTTTCCATCTCCACCGTTAGCTGTATGTAACGCAATTTTTGCGCTGAAGCCCTGCACTATCTCCTCAGAGTTTGAAGTCTGTATATATACCTTCTCACGTCTGCACTGTATAAACAATAACTTCTGCTGTGAGGTGGACGTGAGTCAGTAATTAAAATAATACAAATTACGCATAGTTTTAATCCCGTCCGTACCGGTTTTCCTCTCAAGTTTTTATGTGTATACTGATTGGTTGTTGATGCTAATTGTTCTTTATGACTGGGATTGAAACATAATCGCTAGTACTTTTTGATCTCGGGATAGCTTAGCAGTTCAGACGTGAGCTTACTGATCGGAGGATCCGCGGTTCGAACTTCACCTCCACATCTCGATTATTCCAGTCTAGGTTTGGGCAACCTGGCATTATCTCAGTCCTCGTGCTTCCTTCGGGTGGCATGACAACTAGGCACCAGGAAGGTATTACAACAACGACAATTTATTATTATTATTATTATTATTATTATTATTATTATTATTATTATTATTATTATTATTATTATTATTATTATTATTATTATTATTATTATTATTATTATTATTATTATTATTATTATTATTATTATTATTATTATTATTATTATTATTATTATTATTATTATTATTATTATTATTATTATTATTATTATTATTATTATTATTATTATTATTATTATTATTATTATTATTATTATTATTATTATTACTGATAAGTTTTATAGAAGTCAGGTGAGAAATTTTTTCCAAAATGAATGGCGTGATATTTGCGCGTAATCAACAGTTCGCAGGTACTCTGCGTTCGTCCAGGATCTTCTGAGCAGCTTTCTGTAGCTCATTGAATTTTCATGTGCATTGAATCAACACTTGATCAGTGTGATTGCACGGTTGACTGGCTGTACTTGGTTGGAGTGATCAACAATCGTATTCAATTTTTAGTACGCTATAGTATCCTTGTATTTCGCAGTCTCCTTGAAGATGCTGTCGGCGGGGCTATTCGAAACTGGTTTATTTTGGAAGGATAGGATATCTGTCGAACTGCAGTGGACACAATAAAAAATGAAGAGTCTTATTCCTGGAAGATGCAATGTAATCTTACACGAAGGCATCCAAAGCGATCTATTTTCTTTTCCGGGGTCCCATTAGCCCTCCTTTCCTAACTTTGCTCCCGTCCCGAAGCACTTCCTGTGCAACTGTTAGGACTTCTGCCACCCAGTTTGTGTGAACTGCGTGTTTCTCATCGCCTTGCGAAGTTTCCTCTCGATGCTTTCCTATTGTGTGGGCCTGAGTGACCAGATGGTGAGTACAAGTTTTACGTAAGATACCCTCATCACACATTGCTGGGTTAGGAGGCTAACTTTTGTGCCTTGACACTTCCGGACGTATGACAGTGTACGGAGAGCTCTCTAGAAGACTCCTTGCCCAAATGGTGTCCATCGGGGGTGTACCCGCTCTCTCCATTCTCATTCAGTTTCGTGATGATACAGTGAGATGAACACTGGAAGGTCTTCGAAACCTTGGGGTTCAAATAGCCCATGACGATTTCGAATGTGCAGGCGATATCGTTCTCGTCTTCGAAGAGGAGGGGAAGGCGCAGTTGTTTTTGGATGAAGTAACCAGTCACCCCGATCTTTGGTATGCACTTTGCATGCACAAAATATAAGGTCATGCTCTTGGACATGCAGTCATCAAACACGCCACTTAAAATCCAGTGAGTGACTCGAAATTGTAGAGCGTTTTACATAACTTGGAAGCTGTATTAGTTCTGATCGTAGTCTGACAGATAAGGTCAATGTACAAATCTGCTTGTGTCTTTTCACCAAGCTGGCGCATTCACAGATGGCGTCTCAACCTTCATCATCGGCTGGGTGCGAAACAGGTTGTGTGGGTTGTACGTGTTCATCTGCGCCCACCGTCTCTCAGCTATCTGTTCTGTAGCACACCACTTGTCTCTTTTCCAGCTTGGTGTTATACCCACATCTCATTGATATATGTCATAGTGTTGAATACACCACGGGGTATCCTATTGGAATGATCATCTGCATTCTGATTGAATAGTGCACTGAAAAGGTCGAAATCCTCTAGAAAATAGGGTGGCCCTTAAAGAATTTCCAGAGAAATATTCATTGGTAGGGTGGTTTCCTGGTATGCGTTTGTATCTTGGTTGATGTGCCTGTCAGTAGAAACTATCTTATAACTTTCGCTTAATGCCTTTGGACGTTTCTAGACCCAACATGCCGGATTTAGACAGCAAAAATGCAAAGACGAACACAAAGAGTACTTCAATCTTGAAATCATCAACCACTCCGACTGTAAAGTCCTCCCGGACTTGTGTTACGAAGAAAAATAGCGATACGAAGCGTTCTCCGGGAAAAGCCTCATCTCGAAGTCCTCCTAGACGACGTCAACGTCGAAGAAGTCACTCTTCGGAATCCCGATCGTCAGATTCGTCGTCTGATTCTGATTCTGCTGATTCGTTTAACTATGACAGTTCACAGTCTTCTAAGCAGTCACCGAAAAAAATTGCTCGGATCAAAGGTATACTGATCGGTTTTCCTGTTTTTGTTCGTTTATCCTTGGAGCTTCTATGTGGCGCATAGTGTAATAAAATTTATCAGTAAACGAAGCCTACGATAAATCCACCAGAATTTGTATCTATGGGATTATTTTGACATGTGTGGAACTGCTCACAAACACAGTGCTGGTACTTTGTCCTGGTCTGTAAATAGGGGTAGTGCGCCTCAAAATCTGTGAGTGAGAGTCGAAATGGGGTCCATTACTATGATTTTCGAACGCCTTCGTTTAGCTATGGCTGGCCTAGTCAAGGGTGTCCTTACGGTTTTATGACAGTCCATGGAGCTTCCACGAAATAGTCACTTCCTTAGCTCCGTCGAGATGTTGCCTTTTCATTAGTGCTTGTTTTAACATGATAAATTGTCCCTCGAATTCGACGTTGGTCACTATCCTGTCAGTATTGTGTGAAATGGGTAACGTTTTGCAATGCTTCTGGAAACGTACCAGTATCTCATTGTTCAATTGGCCAGCTAACATTCTAAGTTCCGACCTTGCTCTCCAAGGTTTTCTGATCTTCGTAATATCGACAAAAAAGTTGAGGATAAGAGAATTTCTCACGACTGTCAGAGAGATTGATTTGCCTGTACGACAGTAAAGCACCAGTGTTGCTCACTGATGTTTCTCTCATTGGACATTGAATTTTAGGAGAGAAACCTGCAGAGCTTTTGGTATAGCTTGCTTCCGTCGGAAAGCCCTCAACATTTCTCGGCCTGTGAACAGATCAGCGTTCGGTCATTATCTATGGTCTCAAACAACAGCCCATATTCAATGCGTGAAATTGCTAACCGGTAGGTCCGCGGTTCGAAAACAGTGTTAACTACTCCTGTCGAAGCTTGGGCCACCTGGCAGCGCCCCTCTCTCAAACGTTCCACCATATTTGTTTTTCTTGATATGACTCTGTCGATCGTGAGAAGCTTTGGTGGTATCGGACGATCAAAGTTGTTACATCCAAATTTATACCCCTTATGGAGGCATTCTATGCGAACTCCTGTGGGAGCTTACCAGTATACGACAGGCTTTCGCCTGAGTTCACCACGTCCAGTGGTCTAAGACAAGGTCACCCTTTCTCACCTCTCCTCTTCAACTTTGTTACTGATGTGCCGCTTGAAACTTCTCTGCCTGTCTCGGGAGTCGAAATGCTCCCGGGACGTTCTCTCACAGACATTAAGTATGCGGACGATGTTGCTCTCTTCGGTTCGGATCCTTCAAAAATGCGAACCATTTCGATTATATAAGTAACCCAAATATTCTACCGCACGGTTTGGCATGTGCTTCACATCTGCAAAGTGTAAACAGCTGCTACAAGACTCGGTTCGAAAACCCATACCTCATGCCTGCGTACGAGCCAATCGATGTGGGAGATAAACTTGTTTATCTGGACAGCTGTACAGGTTCACACTGGCCGGAAATGAGATTACTCCTCGAATAGGAAAGGCTGGGGCAACCTTTGCCAACCTCCGACACCTATGACGTTGACGTGATGTCAGCTTGTCTGTCGAGGGCAGAGTTTACACTGCGGCAGTGCGATCCATACTGCTTTATGGATCAGAGACGTAGCGGACGTACGAAAAACGTCAGTATTTGATCATCGATGCCTCCGCAGCATTGGCCACGTCTGGTGGGCACATCGGATTAGTAATGCTGAGGTACGCCAGATGGTCTTAGGACGAAGGAACTCTCACTCCATAGGTTACGCTGGCAACGAAGTATAAAGATACCAACCGATAAACTTGATTAAGTTGTCAACTGCAGCCTCCATAGATGGAAACCCCTGGACTCAACTCACCAATGGTTACTGACATTGAGGTACTTGGGTACGAACCTCACTGTTCACATCGGTTGATTTGAATGCAGCACGGACGACGGTCGCCGAACTCCTGGACAACCGCGGAAACATCAACGGAATGCTCGGAAAAGAAGAAATGTGTGAACTACTAGACCTGTACTTGACAACCTACTTTGAGTTCAATGGAGAATATTACGAACAGATCAAAGGAGCGCCAATGGGGTCACCAATCTCTGGACTCATCGCGGAAATTACAATGCAGAAACTGGAGCGAATCACACTACCAGATATCAAACCGAAAATATGGGTGCGATATGTGGACGACACATTCGCTGTTATAAAGACAAATGAACTAGTACGAGCGGAAGAACTGCTGAACAACGTGTTTCCCGACATCCAATTCACAATGGAAACTGAGGAGAACAACAAATTGGCGTTCCTAGATGTGCTCGTAACAAGGACAACAAACGGCCAACTACAAACTGAAGTATACAGGAAAGAAACGCATACGGACCAGATTCTGAATTACCACAGCAACCATCCGAACTGTCACAAGCGGAGCTGTGTTCGAACTCTATTCAAGCGGATAGAGACACATTGCAACACAACAGAGGCGAAGACTCTTCGAGACATTCCGAAATAACGGCTAGCCGAGGAATTTCATATGGAGGTGCCTACGAGACCAACTCCAAGCTGATCCGTCAACACAACCAGAACAGAGGAAGATTACGCTGCCGTATATCAGAAACGTGGCGGAGATGACTGCACGACACCTACGGCAACATGGAATTGCGTCGCCTTCAAGCCAAAAACACGTTGAGAAGAACGCTCTTGAAACCAAAAGGAAGTTTGGACACTTTAAAGAAGGCTAATGTGGTCTACAAACTTGAACGCAACGACTGCGACAAACATTATGTTGGCGAAACGGGAAGAAAACTTGCTACGAGAATACACGAACACAAGCTTGCCGGTAGAAGACATGACCCAATGTCACTCGTCTCAATCCACGAAGACAGAGAAGGACACACATCCAATTGGGACAATGTCCAAATACTCGCTCACGCAAGAACAAAACGGGAGCGAGAATTTGCCGAGGCGTGATACTCCACACAAAAATCGATCAATAAATACATCGACATTGACCCAGTCTATCAGCCGTTACGAGCGAAAGAACCATACGGTCACGGGACTCGGAGCTAAGAAACCTAACGGCAACCAACGGACTAATTGGGTCAAAGGAAGACAATCACGAAAAACAGAAGGCCAATCAAATGAGCAAAACCCACCCCACAAAGCAAGAAGGAAACGACCGAATCACAGCATGGCAGCCACATACAGAACTGCCGAATTGAATGCACCCAACGAACCAACCAGACACAGGAGATTGAAACCACGTGAGATTCACAGAAGACCAATCAAACTACACGACGACCGTTTCAACAACTACCAGATACTGTTTAGAAGCTATATAATCACAGGTAGAAGAGGAGGAAATCACCCACTCAACCCTGCACTGACGACGTCACCTCGATTGGTGATGAAACGTTTGCAATCCAACTGCTAAGGCGAGCGAACAGACCAACAACCAGAAGGTACTCTCTCACGATAGGTGAATGACCCGCACCCACATGCCACCGGCGTTCACACCGTTTGCTGGCGTACAATCCAACTGCTAAGCCCGGCGAACAGACCAACAACCAGAAGGTACTCTCTCACGATAGGTGAATGACCCGCACCCACATGCCACCGGCGTTCACACCGGTGCTTTGCTGGCGTACAACCCTGGTTTATTTGGGAGCCTAATTGTGAAGGAGAGAATTTAAGTGAGTTGGTGCTAGCATACCACAATGATTCTGAGGTGCCTACACTTGCGGACACTTGCAGTCAATTTGGATGGAAACTGAAAACAAGAGCGCTATTGACATAGAATTAAAGCCATATGTTGCGGTGTCTGCGACCAGGACTTGTGGGGATTCCGCGGTCCTCATCCTGGAGGGCGAGTAGCACTGACAACACCCAAACTTTTCGTGATTCCTTTCATGCCCGTCTGGCTGGTCAAGGGTGGACCACCTCTGCTTCCGCCACTCTGCATTGGGCATGCAAAACAGTACTCTCTTTAGCAAACGATGTTGAGGCATATGCAGCACATTTCCCAACCAACAGCTTCTAGGGCTGAACACATTCTTAAATGGCGGTATCCGTTGCACGACGGAATACTTCCTAACTGGCTCATTGCGGATACGCCGACACCAACCTAAACGAGCTATGGTTTCGAGACAACCATAATCATACACCTGAAGATTTCTCAGTTCCGCTGCTCGAACAGGCCAAGTCTCAAAGCTATACAACAAAACAGCCCGCACTGTAGCTTGATACACTCGTCCCTTCAGATTCAGGGATACACCACTTTGACGCCATAGGTGTTTCAACTTAGCAAACGCGACCCGAGTCTTGCAGGTTCGTGAATTGACCTCATCTGTCATACTGCAATCAGAGCTAATACAACTTCTTTGGATACGTAAAACTCTTCACAACTTACAGTGCCTCTCCCTCGATTGTAAGTGGCGCGTTCAGTGACTGCTTGTCCAGGAATATGACCTTATGCTTTGTGGGTGCAAAGCGCATACTAAGGGACGAGATGAGTTTGGTCAGTTCATCTGCATGCTGGAATACCGTCTACGTAAGGAAGCTCTTTTCGCCCAGCCATTATGCTGGAGTGGAAGCGACCAAGAGGTAGACAGTGCATAACCTGGATACGAAGTATAGAAACAGCAACCAGTAAACAATCAGGTTGACGACCGCCTTCTCCCTTGTTAGGAAGCTCCCGGACTCAACTCACTGATGGTCAGTGACACTGGTAGAAGTAGCCTAATCGCATAGTTAATGACGTTCACGCATGAAAGCTATCGTCTTCAATGCTTAGCTGACAGTTTTCGAACTAGCTGAAAATGCCATCGGCTTCAATGCTTGGCTATCTCCCGTTTTCCGATGATCGGATTTGCATCAACCGAAAGCAGTGTGCCCTTAAAAAGTGGTTTATAGCCGATAAACTGAACCGAACCGTGAGCTCCCTTTGGTTGGCGTGGCCAGTTGACACCAGATGAGTGTTAGCTCAACGACAGCTGAGTATATATATATATATATATATATATATATGTATGTACCGTTTAGTCTTAGACACTGCGTAGGTTCATCCTCTTCCACTGTTTACGCATGTTAGGATACTATACTGCGCTGAAGATACTGTCTCTGTTTTCTGACCTACATGCTCGTTTAACGTAATTTTGCAGATAAAAAAGCATCCGAGCATGCGAAACCTGCTAATCGTCCCCTTGAGTGCTTGACCAAAAAAGAAAATACTTCAGTCCTCAAAGGTAAATCTTTGGACAATCGAGCATCGCGCGAACACATAAGAAAACCCGTAGTTTCATCGAGAGGTGGTACAAAACGGGCCGAAAACACATCACGTTCAATAGCTCCAGCAACTTTGCATGAATCTCAAAGTTTGAATGCGATGCCCGCAAAGCATCTGACGACCCCTACGGTTGACGGCTCTCTGGACAATCCGCTCTTACAACAAAGTGACGCTTCTGCCAAACAGCCACCCAGAAACTCCAAAAACGATGAGGTGATCGTGGAGAAGCTGGTAAAGGAACGCAGCAAGTCACCTAGCGTGTTACCGCCCTTTACTCGTATATTGGTGGAAAAACTTACAAGAAACGTCAACAAGGTGAGGATATTTTTCTCCTCACAACACTTGTTTTGAAGTCGTTTCCCATTTGGCCGTTAACTGTGACTTCTGGTTTCTCTCATTGTTGCGGACGTGTGGTGCTCCGAGATATTGATTCATTACATTATATTCCCCATAAGTCTTCCTTCCCTAGGCCTAGACTCACCTCTGTAAACTACGCGAAATAGCCAGGATCCTCGACAAATACACTCATTTACATATTAATTTGTTTTCACAGGAGACTCAACTGAATCTCGTTTATGATTCTGCTTTGTCACTCGAAGCGCATTATTTCAACATGAAAACTGCAGTCATCTGTGATACTTTTGAGGACGTTGATCGAAGTTATTCATGTTTAAATTGACCATTGTCAAGTAAAGCGCTGCCTCTCCTTTCGGTTACCTGTTTCTAAATAGTCACAGAAAAGGGTAGAGGGAAAAACTTGGGAACTAAAATGAAAGTGACAATTTTTACCCTGGATCTAGCGCTTTTTTACAGATGTAAGTTCGTTTCCAAGGAGGATTCGTAGGTCAGCAATCAAGCGACCAGAGGAAAACTGATATCGACAAGTCCTAAGAGACCGACAATCTTTTTGGGTAGGATTGCCTTCTTAAATGCCTATCTGAAGTCGTTCCGTAACCTCACTCATCTTTCATTTTCTTTAGGCCCACATCACTGAAATATTCTCAGTTTGGGGAAAAATTCACAGCGTTGATATGCCTCCCGATCGTCTACATCCGGAGTTCAGTCGCAGTTATGCCTACGTTACCTTTGAAAACCCTAGTTCTGCTGCGGATGCTGTTAATTTTATGAATGGTGGGCAGATCGACGGTGAAGTAGTGCGCGTGACTGAAGTGTTATCACGTGCCTCTCTAGTAGTCCGTGGTGAAGGTGCTGTCACTACTGATGATAAAATCCGGTAAGTCCCGTTTGCTTTAGCCGTCTATAAAATTTCCATTTCTATGTGCATCCACTGCCCCCGTATAGGTGATCCACTCTGGTTCCAGAAAGACTAGTGAGGATGACGTGATACAACACCACCTTGCAGCTACCTCCTGCTGCTTCCTTTTCTTTATTCCTTTTTCCGAGTTCCTTTCGGTATGGCATTTTGGCCGATGTATGACTCTCGTATTGAACCCAGTTCAAATGGTGGTCGTTGGGAAACCCTTCGTACTTTATTTTAACGCGGTTGTGGCAGGAATGACCCGTAATTTTTGGAGATCTTGACTGTCCTCGCAAAAGATGCCCGACATGTGTTATAAATGAATTGTAATTTGTTACTTTGGTTTTGCCGTTTAGTCATGAAACTCATTGTGAGAAACTCATGACAGTCATGGCTATCCAGAATCAGTTCTCAAGTCAGTACTAGTCACGTACTCTAGGTAGGTAGTTGCGGTCTGCAACATGCGCATTGACTGCCGTGCCACCTCACACTTCAGGAGAATTTGATGGATACTTTTCCTTGAAACTAATCCGTACGTTTTCCCAACGAACGTAGAGCGAAACCTGTGCGGCAACCCCCTTTACATCACCTGAATTAGTGGATCTAAGTGACGTAGGACATCACCTTCGGAATCAGCATATACGGTGTCCGGAGTATTCCCAGCTTACGTTTTATATACTCTTCAGTCAAGTTGACTTTAAATGAACCGAGTGACCGACTTCATGCTTCTCTGTGAAACATCTACAGCCCATCACATATTACCTGCTAGCGATTTCCATCGGGTTGGGAACGGGATCCCGTTCAGCGTCAGCTTGCTAGCTAACTCTGAGCACCAGAAGATTTCCATGAGCGACCGAAATGCATGTTCACGCTGATCACATTGGTTGATTGGAATCCTTCTGCCTTAGCGTTTATATTGACACTGATGGGTGTAAAGTTATTGTGCATTAATCAGAGTCCTGTCTATGCTTTAGGATCTCAACCGTGTGGTTAGTTGGGCAATTGTTGCTGAAGCTTGTGTGTATTCCACTAAGTGTCGCGTCCTAAGAATATTTTGATGGTTTCAGAGTAAGCCCAGGTTGTCACCCTTTACCCGGGGCACCATGGGGTTCGCCAGTTATCTGTATCGTCGTATTGAAGATGCATTGATCACATTTTCACCTTAGTTCAATGGCTCAAACCACGTCCCCTTTCCCCGCAGAACTACAGTCTTGTTTTCGGTGACATCTAAAGTTTCTGGTGATAGCTCATCTCTAATCCATACATTTGACTAAGGTGAGAGGTCCCGCAAACGTCATCTTGTTTGTTTTCACTTCTGCACACAGCAGAATGAATGAGCGAAGACGTTACTGCTGACGTCCTTATCTCTCCAATGTAGTTTCCTAACCGTTCTCCTGCTTCAACTGATAGTTACCTTTCTGTAGATTCGGGCTACGGGCACGTCAAACACCAGGAAAACCCACTAATGGCATGCCACTGTTCACATCTGCTCCTTTGCGTTCGCTTTTGAGACATAAATTACTTGTTACTATATTTCGAAAACCGTTTTAAGCGTGTGTGTTCATTCCCGGTGCCTTGTCTCATTTCAGTAAACGGAATGAAACAATAATTGAGCATACGGCACTTCACCAATTAAACAATACCGGCCGATGTATCTACAATCACCCCAGTGGTTTACACCGGTACTGATGCAGCCCTTAGTTCTCGAATTAACATTCCTTACTTGTATGACCATCCACAGACAACCGATTTTGTGTTGTTTGACCTTCCGCCTCCAAGGAGCTCGTCGTTTCAGTAATATGAACCATCCTTTATTTCCTGGCCAACCCTTGTAACTATGACCCGGAAGCAGACCCTTTTTATCGAGGGAGAGCATCAGTTTGTAAGTCGTGGGGGAGTTCAGATTGGATAGTCCAGCTGGGTGGAGATTTCAGCACACACGTGCGTTCATCAGGTCAGGTTCACGTCTACGTACTGTGTTCATTTCGACGCAAAACGTAGTGACAACGGTGAGCACTTTTTACAACTTTGCACTGATCACTAGTCGTTTATCAGCGGCACTGAGCTTAGGTGTGGTGGTCGTCGTTTTCTTGCCTGGCTTCTTCCTACTTCTGGGGGATCATGCACCCAGATTAATCGCATGGCCGTTAGGTATCTGAGGTGACTTTATTCTCGGTTGATCATTATGGAATGCACAGTGCACTTCTCTCCCTTGTCCTGTGTAGGTTCCCACTAATTTAAATTAAGACACAAGCGGCCTACTCGGAGGACGTTGGTCGTAATTAGGAGGAGGTAGCGATCATCATACTCCATGAGACCGCTGTATAGAATACAGAGAAAATAGAAGGTTCAAGAAATAGAAGAGTCTGGTGCAGTCGGGAATGTATAAAAGCTGTTTAGGCTAATACGCGAGGCACAATTAGGGAGGCCGTCTGTTCATGAGTGATTCAGCTATGCTGTTAGAGATCCGATACAGCTCAGTTCCTTTTTAAGGACTTTTCTCCGAAGGCTTAAGTTTAATAATTCGTCGGAAAAAGGACTTATGTTTACTCCGAATTTGCTCTGCCACCACTGGATGTCGGGGTTTTTCATCCGAAAAGGGCGGTGTCGTGATAAGGACGGACACTCAGAACCAGAGTCTAGACCGCCGAGTGAAATTTTCGGTTGGTACTTTGCCTGTGTGCCTATGTCTTTCATTAGACCCTCCAAAACCAAAATGTGGTCTGCCAGTTTGAGCCCTTTCCTGTCTGTGAAGTACTGATATATCTTTCTGTTTCACTCAAAAAGGTATTAGCCTCATATTTGTCAGCACACAGCTGCTAGTCTGCTTAATCCCGCGTAACTCCGGCATCAAGAGGGATTTTGACTGATGTTGCACGTGCTACAACCTGAACAGCCTTGCCGAGTGTTGGTTAACAATCACTTTCGCTCGACTTCAATGTACGTAGCCCACTCTTTGTCCGTATACATGGACCTATGGCCTTAGAGTTTGTAAATCTACCCGTGCTTTCATTCCAACATTCAAGTTCGGGTGATTGTTTACGTTGTTCAAGCTTTTTCCGCAACTGCCCTTCTGACTCTGGTAGAATCCGTTATCAGTTTAGTCCTGGGCTGATCACTCTAATGGGCCATTAATCTAGGAATCAAGATGATACCTAAAGAATAATCAGTTGGCTTGGACTGTACGAACTAATTTGTTTTGCTTTGGTCATAATCAATCTGCACAGTTTACTCTGCGAATTATTAGAAGCAGTCCTTTGTTTCATCCTGTGTTTTATGCCTTCAAAATTCTCTGGGACTTTCAGTGTTGTAGCTATGAAACTTTATGCTAAAGGACTTGCGTTTGTTCACAGCTGCGTAAGCCAGGATTGTGTTGTGGCGAAGCGAAGAAGCGTCGCTCGTGGCGTCAGAAACATTTCACCGGAGCTTTAGGGTGTTATATATAAGACAACTGCAACAGCAGTCTTATTCTATGGTTGAAACATGGCTTCCGATTTGAAGACTGTAAACATCTCAAACTTTGATCACCAGCCCCCTGTTGGCGTCGCTGGCTGCCTGTGTCCTCAACCAAGCGATCTGTAAGATAGCACTCGGTAACGTGTCAGAACCACCAGAGCATCAAATGAAGTTTACCAAGTTCAGGTGCTTAGGATATGTACCATGCTCGGAACCTTCAAGTTGTTGACTTTTTCCTTCATACTAACAGACAAGAACTTGTCCACTGTTACGCCTAACCCCTAGGTCCTTGTTTTTCCTAGTACATCGTGCAATGTGGCTTGCTCCGCTTGAACAACGATCTTTTACCATAGCCTTCTCAGAGTTTTTCATGGTCTCCTTTAATTTCAAAAGCATGCGTTACTGTTGTTTCTGTTCCAGTGATCGTGAGCGGGATACGGCAAAACGGGAATCTGATCGACCAGGGGGCATATCCCGGATGACGAAACAGGATAACGTCACAGTGCCTCGCCGCTCAGGGGAATCCGATGAACACTCACGGGAGCGGGATCGTCCAAGCGACGAAGTGGCGCGTCGGCGGGAACGGCAGCGTGAGCACGAAAGGGATCGTGATCGTGAAAGAGACAGACATCGTGAGCGGGATCGTTCGCGAGAGCGCGAGCGACAGAGAGAAGATAGGGTCAGGCGTACCAGAAGGGGTAGCAGCGGTAGTCCTTTCGCTAGTCGCAGCGGTCCACCTGCTAACCGTCAGAGGTCACCTGGCGGATTGCGTTACCGTCGCCCTAGTACGTTTGTTTGCTTGAGTACCCTGTGGGCTTGTCAGGATAGTAGCTTAACCACTTCTCAATATTTCAGGTAGTGATTACTGAAGTAACAGAACTTTTCTGTTCTCACTAACCAGTGTGGTGTCTAATACCCGTTCGTTGATGACGCTCTTTTATGCAACTTTTTCAAACGGATTAAGCGACTCAAAGGTGTCCGAAAATTCTATTGGAAGAGGGATCTGGTGAAGGGTTAACTCGACTTCGCTGGAATTAGCTGAGCCATAAAATCAAGTTGTACGGAATGAATTTTTTAGGCGTTAAAATCTTGAGAACTTTTCGTGGTGGCAGTATCAAACCGGCGACCTATCAAGGGAATGATTGGAACATCCAAAACTAACGATAGTATCCCCTGATAAGAAAAAAATATGTCTCCGCTTTCACACAAAAGCTGGTTTATCAGGAGGGAAAAGGAAACGAAGGAACAGTGTCACGTGAATTTGACATTTTGTCCATCAATATCGGCCGATTACCCGTAGTGAGTTGTCCTGATTTGACTAAGGGAAAAGCCAAACCCAAACCACTCGGTACTCTCCTTGTCCTGCGTCATTCAACTACACAAAATCCTAATTATTGGTTGTTGGGACCAGGAGAGCTTATTGCAATTTCTTCAACGGACAAGTGAATTTGGAATATCTGACTATATGTACGCTTACGGAACTACCATCAACAATCGCAGTCAAACTATCTCTACGAATTGGCGAGGAGATTTTACTGTATTGCACTTAATTAAAGAATGAACCCAAGCCAGCATTCATAAAAGAGCCCAGAGCTATTTCAGCTATGTGAGCAGATTTTCTCGGAGCTTCCAATTGAATAAATGAAGACGCGAATTGTTATTGATCAGTTTTGACGCTGTTTTGATTATTGTGTATGATTATCCAGGTATTTTCTCCCGGAACACTCGTGGACAACGGCTCTCGGGGCTCTTCGGCATGAATATCTTTCAGGCCAATAAACCTATGTCGACAGCCCATGCGTAGAAGGGTGCATTCTGTTCGTTCTGTGCTAGAGTAAGAGTAGATCGTTCAGCTGTAACACCCGTTCGGTGCCTGGCTTCTATGCCAGCAGAAGGAAGCACGAGAGCTGAGGTAATCATCATCGTCATCAATGACAGCAACATCAATGTTGGCACTGATGCTTCACTGCCGTACAACCATAAG